CAAGATTCTGATGTACACTGTATATATGTATATGTATATGTATATATGTATATATGTATATATGTATATATGTATATATGTATATATGTGTATATATATATATATATATATATATATATATATATATATATATATATATATATATACATACATGTGTATATGTGTGTGTGTGTGTGTGTGTGTGTGTGTGTGTGTGTGTGTGTGTGTGTGTGTGTGTGTGTGTGTGTGTGTGTGTGTGTGTGTGTGTGTGTGTGTGTGTGTGTGTGTGTGTGTATGTGTGTGTGTATGTGTGTGTGTGTGTGTGTGTGTGTGTGTGTGTGTGTGTGTGTGTGTGTGTGTGTGTGTGTGTGTGTGTGTGTGTGTACATATACACAGAAATATATATACATATATATACATATGTACGTGTGTGTGTGCCTGTGCATTTTTTTTTATTATCTTTTAATGTCCATCCAAATTACAGGAGATTACATCAATCTATCCACTATCCACTCATACACTCACCTGTTTTCTCCATCTTTCACTTGCCATAATCACACTCCCCCCCCCTCTTTTTGTGTTATTCATTTATATGTGCATGACCAATTATCTTGCATTATTCCCTGTCATTATGATTCATAAATATAAAAATCATCAAACATTTTAACTGCACTAATTTCAAAAAAATAAAAAATAAAAATAATAAATAATAATATATATATATATATATATATATATATATATATATATAATATATATATATATTATATGTATGTATGTATGTATGTATATGTATGTATGTATGTATGTATGTAGTATGTATGTATGTATGTATGTATGTATGTAAGTATGTATGTACGTATGTACGTATGTATGTATGTATGTATGTATGTATGTATATGTATATATATATGTATATTAGTATATATATATATATATATAAAATATATATATATATAAGGATATAATAATTAAAATACAATAAAAATCTTAAAAACCTACTTTACTATCTTATAACAATGCACTGTTTGGGAGTGCTTACATCAACCCACTGATGTCGGGAGTGCATATATAAAGTAACTGAATTGTTTGCCATTGTTCTGTTTCATTACTTTGAATTGCATATAGATAACTCCTGAAGTAGTTAGTCACCAAGGAGTTTGCTCTTAAGAACTGCAAGATCTCTAGTTTCTATTTCCTAATTGTAAAAAAAGGTTTGATTTATCAATTTTCGATTTTAGTTGCTGGTATTTCAAAAGCTTAATTTGATATACAAGAAAAAGTATATTTCAATGCTATACAGTTGAAGTTATTCTAGTTACCAGTCTTTATTTATGTAGAACTAAAAAGAGGGATAAATTATAATAAACATGTAAATAAAACCCAAATAAGGCAATAAAATTATATTCATATCATAGAAAACAATAGAATATGTGTTTAGATGTATTCATAAGCATCTACAAGTCTGTACAGTAAAAAAAAAAACATAATATACTGTGAGACAACCGTGTGATGTGCAGAGCTATGGTGTGTGTGGGAGGGGGAGATTGGGGGAGAGGAATAGATGGGGGTTTGGCTGAATGAAATATGCTGTACAGTAGCCAAACTATTAATTTACACCCACTACATTCCATTTACAAGAAAAACCAGGCAGGAAAATGCAACTATATGAATAGATTTAGGAGTGAAGGACCTACAAGGTGATGCCATGGGTGTAGCTTGAGGAAACATTGACAAACGGAGGACGAAAAAAGCTTGCCAGTTTTGAACAGGCCTTGTATGATTGTGACAAACAGTATAGCCTGCACATAATGTGAATTGCAATGATTGGGACAAACAGGACTCAAAGAGATTAATCATCACTTCCTTACCCATCTTTAGTTATCCCATTCCTTGAATTTTGAGAAAGAAAAGTTTTAATTTTATCATCATTATCATTATTAATGAAAATATCACAATCATACTGGTAATTACAATAATAAAATCAATAGAAATATAAAAACCCGTAATGAAAATTCAAGGAACGGAAGGAAACAGATGAGATCAGGTAGGCCTAGAGATTGTAACTCCTTGGTGAATAAGCATTTGTGAAGCCACCTGTGTAAACAAAAACAATAAAACAAAACCACTTTCGACAATACATGTAACTTCTGCCGATGGGTTAAAGAACATTTCTTAGCTGAAATATGGAACGGAAAAAATACCAAAATCCTATGCAGATCAATATGCACATAACACTTTAGGATAATTAAATCTGTAGATTAGTGTTACTGTTTTCTTTATTACATGGCACAATGATGATGGTGAACATGAAGTGATGGATAACCAACTAAGCTTTTCTCTAAAGAAAGTGAAAGAAGTAATAGCAGAATATTTCACATTTCTGGAGATTGTAACTGAAAAATGAAATTTCAAGAAGGTAGGTGGAGGTCACTTTTAAGAAAGAAGGAACAGGAATATGATTGCTATTTATATAGATTCATTCTGTCTTGACTTTCTATTAACACAAAAATGAAACCCAACTTTTCAATTAATCTTAACCAGAATATTGCATCACAATTTTTTTTTTTTTTTTTTTTTTTTTTTTGTAATTTTTTGTTGAATCTTGGTATCTGGGGTGGGGTGGGGTGGGGGATCTATCACAGCTGCAAGACGATAAAAAAGATATGAGAGTGGAAAAGATTTTAATCAACCTCTATTTCATTTACTCAAAAAAGAGACTGAATGACCATGTGATTTATCATTTAATCTTTTTACTTCTTATAACAAATACAAACATGTTAATGCTACAAGCATTCTCCAGCTGATGACATGACAAGTGTTAGAAGTTACAAGATGACATGTCCTTGACTAATTCGTACTTCAAAAACCTAATAGAACCTTCACATCATCACACCCATTTCTTACTACAAGAAATATGAGTGGAAGCTACATTCCAAGCAGTTATCATATACAATAATTATCCTACACATAAATTACCCGCACTGTTTGTGACAAGTGAAAAATGGAAGTGAAACATACACACATAGGTATATGCACACAAACACAAACATAAATGTACTGACAGCTCTGGCTTTCTGTTTCTTAATCTCTCCCTCTCTCAGAGATGAGTTAGGTTACAGAGGTCTAACCAACTGTTTGCTTATATTTTTTTTCTAAAAGGTTTCCAATGTGCAACCATTATTCCACATCCAATATCAAGAATTTTATATTCCAATAATGGCACACATCTTGATTCATGTCCATCCTTACCAGCTATACAATCCAATACTTTAGGATACTTTTAGATCCCTTTGACATGCAATCAGCACTCCCTACCACATTCAACAGCTGCCAGGCAATACTTAAATGTATTTCCTACATAGAGTTGATCACTTGCCGTTTTGTTTCATTCGTTTCTAGCAATGTATATGCTGATGGTGTTAGATAATGGAACCATAATATGATAGCGCTGTTTATTAAATTCACAACTCTTCTCAACTTGTTCTTAAACATGTCCTCCTGTAATATTTTTATTGGACAAGGAATATGTGGAAGCAAGTCAATGGTACCTAAATGTAAGGTGACATCCGACATGATGTAAAATTTCAATGGAAGGAAAGCCTACTAGACATTTTTCCATAACATTAGTTAAACCAATATAAGTCACAAAATGCTACAAATATTTTTTATTGATTATACATATAGGTTGAGATTTGAATATTATTCTCCTATGACCCTATAAAACATCAACTTTGCAGATGTATGTAGTTCCCACTTGTATATTACCTTTCCATAAGGATCTCATATATTCAAATAATTATTTTGAAGATATAGAATAAAACAAATTTGTGATAGATGATTACTTTGTAACCTAAGGGACAGATACTTTATCAAGCCATCTTCATGGAGATCATTCCCTTTTCTTTGGTTAGTTATTAACTATACCTAGTCCATCATAACAGACAGTATGATGGTTTACACATGATCATTCTAGTTCTTTCCAGTCTTCAAGATCTGGCAGTCTTTGGATCAAATGTCGAGAGAAACAACGTAGATGGGAAATTTAGAAGGATACATCGGTCTTGTAACTTTTGTATCACACTATCAAGTCTTCCTTAGCTATGAATGGGTAGTGATTCAATCTGATTTAGAGATTACAAAATACTACTCTTTTAACTCTTTTTCTTTGAAAAAAAAAGAAAAGAAAGTTATTTCTAAAAAATATATCAGAAACATTCTAACACTGATAATGAACAACCATGTTCTTGGAAAAGGCTCCTTCATAAAGACATTGACCAAAAACATTAGGATTATTATAAACCTAATCTGTGGCTCAAAATCTTACATTCTCTACACTTGCACACACAATATGGCTAGTAAAACTCAGCTGACCTCATCACAATGTGGTATATAAAAGGAAGACACTGGTGGACTCTAGGCTATGAGCTCTTCCAGGGCCTTGTCTCTGTCGTTATCATGTTTTAAGAGAGCATCGACTATTCTTTCATCCTCAAAACCTAGATCACACAGCTGAAAAAGATGCACAAAATTACTTTAAGGCGAATGGGGGGAAAAAAGACAAAATGACAAAAAATAAGACAATAGCAAAAGCCTGCAATGGAAAGAAAGAAAAAAAAAAGTTTGATGATTATACGAGGTTTAAATCTTTCAGTCACCATTTACAAGGTCATTCATATGTCTATCATGTTATTCAAAGTTTCATGCAAGCTATCTTGACAACTATATATTATGAGAAAAGATTATTGAGGAGGAGAAAACATTCTTCACCCATTTAAAAGTGGAATAATAATTTAAAAAAAGGTTAGCAGCCAGTAATGCAGCATTGTTGACGTACATCAGCAGTTTCCCCCATTTGCACCCAGTTCATTCAGTACTTCAATGAACAACATTGGGCACCTAATAACTCATACTTGTTTTTCATTTTAAGAAATAAAAAAGTAAAGTCTTTCCTTGACTTTATGTTTCTGTGTCTAATAGTGACACCAAACAAATTATGTCACTGCTATTAGAGAAAGGTCCAGATGCAGTGCCATCTACAACTCAGTCCACCACAGCCAATGCAGGACATCAAGCCAACCACGACCAAAGAGATATAAGTCTTAGTGATGAATATCAGCCAAAATACTTAAAACAATATTGTATGATCTAGTTTCACAGTCATATCTAACTTTATCTATCAATCCTGTGGGCAAAACTGGATTTCACAGATTTTACAGAGAGCATTTGAAGTCTCCCTTTTCTAAGGATACCTTCATAAAAAAACATTCAATTCAAACAAACTCATTTTTGCAAACTGCAGCTTAACCCCTTACTGCCACTATATTTTGAAGCCAAAAATAAAAGTTTCCGGGCAGCTACAAAATCAGTGTGCAGGGCTGGCCCAGACTCTGCCCGATCGTGAGCCACGGCCCGCTGCTGCGTCTAAGTGCAAGCCCCGATACAGCGTCACACTGGCAGGATGCCCGGCAATGTTTATTTTTTCAGGTGTCTCATATGTGGGACACCTGTCGTTACTGGGTTAACAACTTGACTGAAATTTTGCAAACAGGAAGATGATCTTCTTTATGCTTATTAAGCTGACACTGGGGAGGAACTGAAAAAGTCATGCTCTATGTAATTGTAACATATATAAAATTCTTCAACAACACTTTCAAAGCCTGTTTCCACAAAGACAAAATATAAAGTAGAGGTTTCAGGTTATGATAATGAAAGTAATCATAACTTAATCAACTGATGCCAGGTAACTGCACTGTACAGAATAGTTTTGTTTTGTAAATTAGGCCTACACAAAGATAGCTCCAAAAGCTCTTAGCCACCAAAGAGTCAATAAACATCCTTTCCTGATCTCATATCATATACCCATTTTCTTCTATTACTTTTAATTAGGTCATTTAATATCATTACTATTCTTCATATCATTACTGACATTTGGATTACAACATTAACCGGTTCACTCCAAATGATTTTAAAAATGTGCATTGCTCGGGTACAGGGCACTCGCCTGTAAGCAGTAACTTTGATTGTGTCATTCTGAGTGTCTCTTATTTAAAAGTTTCTCCCATTCACTCACTCACTCACTGAATCATTCACTGACTCACTCACTCACTCACTCTCTCTCTCTCAGAAAGAGAGAAAATTCCTCTAGTTCATTTCATGGTAAACTAAGGTAAAGTATATTTATCTCTCTCTCTTATTTGGAGCAAAGTGTTTGAGAAATGAAGATGGAGAGGGGGTTAAGAGGGCAAGGAATGAACCAGGGTGGGGGGAAAATGTACCTCCCCTGTACAGTCTCCCATCCCAGGTGGAGGGGTATGTGGTGAGGTAAAGGAAAAGGGGGATATGGAGAAAAAAGGAAAAACCACAGAGAGGAAAACTGTGACTGTGATTGCCAATGATAGTTCCTCATTCTGGGTAGAAGGTGGGGCATATGTCTAGCTGATTTACATGATTGGTGGGAACAAGGATGGTGAGTGGAGCTAATGAATTTGTTGGACAATATACAGTCTAAAAATAGAGCCAGAACAGAATACAGGATTAATCTGCAGTTACTAAAATAAAATGGAATTATGACGCCAACATTGGTATCACAGTATATTCCAATTACACTTCATGATGCCAACATCAGTGTCTCTGTATAAAACTGGTTAATGCTGATAGCAATTATAAATAATAAGTAACCTTTTTATACAGAATAATCATACTGACCATGTCTGGTATAGACACTCTTATGTCATGCTTATGTCCAGATTATGATATAAGTCATCAGCCTATTAATGATCCATACTGTGAATATAATATTTTGCTTTGAATTTTTTGACCAACAAAAGATGAGATCTACAGCATCTGATGTTATCTCAGAAGCTAATATTGTATGTGCTTCTTCCATTTATAGGCTTTAAGCTGCACACTCATAAGGTCATAACAGCAAAATTAGCATTTTATTTCAGTTTCTGGAAATACTACCCACTACTAAAAATTCTATTTATTCTACTTAATGTTATTTGTAATAATTTGCAAAAATCACTACAAAAAATGTATTTCCCCCCAACTTGGTAACTTGGAATGTTATAAAATGTATTATGGATTTCATAAAAAGTATCATGTGAAAGTACTGCTCCTACCAGGGCAGTCTATAAAAAAGTGATACCATTACTATATGGATATTTTATGTACCATTATAAACAAGTAATACAATACAATATGAATACTTTTTAGCTCTACTCTCTCTTATTCTACTTCTTCTTTTTTTCTGGATATTGCTCCAGCAGAACTACAGTGAAATCAAAAACTTTTCACCAAATTACCTGTTTTGCTGCTGCCAAATGGTCTTTCGTTTTTTGCAAGTCCCCCATATAGTGGTAAAAAGCACGTTCTGCTTTGTATTCATCTTCTCCAGCATCCTGGAGATTTTGCAACACCAGAAGAACCTCAATAAGCTGAAAATAAAAGGACAAACATCTTGCATTGAAACTTTATATAAAAAAAAAGTAAATAAAAATAAATATATGGAGATTAAGC